ATACTGCCCCTTGGGGAAGTGCTGGAACAATGGGGGGGGATCGAGGTAGCAGCCTCAGGTGCAACTGGGGGACAATGAATAAAAATAAGGGTTAATTTAAAAGGGGGGGCACTGAGTAATTTTTTTTTTAAAGCGGGTGGTAGGCCAATTAAGTTTGGGAACCTCTTTGAGATCAGCAAATGGGTGCTCATTGCTAGAACACTCCTCCAGGAATGGCATATACTGCTGAGGCAGGCCAGCCAACAGAGAAAAAGTCAGATGAACAGCAAAAGGTCAAAAGAGAAGTGAGGAAACCAATATCTAAAGGCAAAGAAGTCCTATAAAGAACTTGAGATTTGGAGCAGAGCACCAGAATGTTGTCTACAGCAGGGCTTCTTAAACTTTCTCCGCCAGTGACCCCTTGAGCACTTCTTAAACTGTAGGTCATGAACCCATATGAGGTCATGGTACAGAATAATTGTTCTGTCAGATTCACAAGCTGAGCTATCTATCCCTTGAAGCCTAATATCCTCCCTATAGATAATATGCTTTGTTAAAGGCTGGAAACGACTCCAGAAAATAATTGGGATAGGATTTCCTTAACTATGACGGTACTTTATAGTTATCAGATTATCTCAAAAGACTAAAAGATCCTAATCTCTTGCCTCTGTTTTCAAAATTGCCTAAAATGTTGGGGCCCACATACCACTACTACTAACATTCAACCACAGACTTGATCTGAAAAGGCAGACTTCATTCCTCTGTGGGTATAATGTTCAGGAAATCAGCCTTCAAAACCTTGTAATGTGGTATATTCCCAATCTCTCGAACTATACTTCAAGTTTATAGTATGTACATTATACATTTTTCTAACCTCACAGTGCCCTAACAATCTGTTTTTCCAATGGGGCATGGCAATGTAGGCACTTCGGTCTCCTTTTCAAATCTTGTCCCTGTGACTTTGAGCAGTAATTTTTCAACCCACAGCCCACTTGTGTCACACAACAGAAAAGTCAGCTTTTCCTGTCTGTATTTCTTTAACCTACAAATCCTTTTGGCCTACAATTTGCTAATATAGCCTTCTAAGTGTATCTTCCAACTAATATACCTTTCTCGTACCATATCCTTCCTTCAGTGTGCCTGGCCGTGCCAGATGCACAAGTGCTCAGTCAATGTTTGCTGGAGCCTTGAAGAGCTTTAAAGTCACTTGGAAGGGACAAAAATGGAAAACTGGAAGACTAAAACAAATCTGTTTATAGTGTCGTAAAAAAAAAAAAAAGGTGTTCACCTTGCTCATTCAACTAGATGTGGACTGGGCAAAACTCTACTGACACTAATCCCTAAATCATTTTGTTGGATATACATGAAGAACAATAAACTCACTTTGAGCCTTTGCTTGACTATGCTGTCATAGACAAAATGTGTTAGCTCCTTATCACTATAACACATTAAACCAATATGGATGATGGGGAATAGGTTAGTAGGGGCATTAATTTAGTTCCAATAGTGGTAGTAATTAAGAAGACGAGGAAAACACTCTTCTTCCAAGAGAGTGTTGGCCTTACATAACCTGTCTGTTTTAGCATTCTAGAACTCTATTTATCATTGTCTTCAACTTAGGTTCCTCTTCCTCATCCCACCCCCCCCCCAAAAACCTCATTTGTATTAATACTTCCCAACCTGACTAAAACACTGACTCACTGGTGGTAGAACATGAACATTTCTCATACTGTCACAGAGGCAGTAACTAGTCTCAGAGGTTTGTCCTTCATATCCCTTAAGGGTTTCAGGAACTCACAAGAAGATACGTAACACCTTTTATTGGGAACAATTCAAGTTCACCCCCTCACCCCTTGGCGAAAGTGTATATACCATGCTAAGTAATAATTTTAAAAGCCCTCCCCAACGCTAGAATTTTTGTCAAGAAACTAAGACACAAAAGCACCAAAATGTGATGGTCTCAATCAACAACCAAACAGAGGCAATAGTAAAGAAAGAGAATAGGAATTTTTACCTACTAGGTGACCAAGCACAAAATCAGGCAAAGTGAAGGTTCTGAGTCAGAAGATCTCAACCTTTTTCCAGGAGTCACAGAATAAGGAACTAGCTAGATTTTTAATTGTGAAGCAGGTGTGACCCATGAGTTAAGTATAGGTTGTACTAGGTCCCTTCCAACCTTGTGATTGCATTTTGTGATCTTATAGACCTAAAGTATGTGATGGAGAATTTGGAATGGCAGCGGACAATAGGGTAAAAATAAGATGAGTCAGGCATGTAATAGAATGGCACCAGAGCAGCAGGATGCCATGAATTGTGCTCACTTCTTACCATCACCATCACCTTCAGCTTCCTCCTCTCCTCCCACAGGTCAGTTTCCTATACTATACTGTCCTCTCATTTTCTTCTCAATCTACCCTAAAATTTCAACAGGTAGTTAAGGTGGGATAAAGGAAAACTATTTTGCATGTTTCTAACAACAAAAAGGTAAGCTATTCTTGTCTAACAAGGAATGGTGCTAGTTGTTCTGCTCTCATGATCATCCCCAATTTAGTGCGAAAAGGAATTTGGACATCAGTCCAACCCCTTCACTTTATGGATAAGGAAACTGAGGAAAAGTGAACTGGGGTAAAGTTAACTTAAAAATTAAGTTAAAAGTAGAACTTGTGCTCCCAGTCCTGGGCTCTTCCTATTACACAAAATATCTCTTTGATTACTTTCTTTTCATTGCCTTGAGTCTTTCAGAGATGCTGTTTGTTTTCATGGAGTAGCCATTGCTCTATCCCTTCAAAATGAGGGGTGTGATTTTGTCTTTGCAAGAGCTTCAAAAATTTCTGATGTAAGGGTTCCACTTTCCTTAGTAATGTTTGCTTCCTGTTCTTTGGGACTAGAATCCTATTAGGGAACCCGTTTTGGTCCTTTTCAGATACCACAGAGTAGACCCAAACCCAGGAAGACGTCGTGTGTTAAATGTTGTTTCTGGGCCTCTGGAGAAAAGCTACATTCCAAGCCTTTTTATGAGGCTCTCTTGTAAAGCAACATCCAAGAGCCTGGTATAAACACAATAATCATATATTAAATAATTAATATTTACCTGAGCAGTCACCAACCACCAGGAGATCAACTTATTCATATTGTAGTGCCGTAGACTGGTCCATACAGCATCAGAGTAAGAATTGTAAATTTACTAACCAGTGTACTTCAATTAGAGCTTTACACTAAACCTGTTCTCTCCCACACTTCATTCTTCCATGTAATCTTTTATTGAAGAAAATAAGATAGCCACCAGTGCAGGTTCTACTACATACTACAGATTTCATAAAACTTTTTTTAAAGGAGAAGGAAAAGAGAATCTTATTTAGCTGATCATTTGTTGGGAATGGGGGACACAGGGAAGAATACTGCACAAGCAGCTAGATAAATAAACCTGACAAAGAGCTTGCTAAGCGACTAATATCATGCACAAGTGAATTTCAGTTATCTCCTGAATGGCACCAGGTTATATCGTTTGCTTCCTAAAAAGAAACGTCCTTTCAGGATGGTGACTCTATTGAAAAATCTATGGAAGCTGCATTTACTGGTAATTTCACATTCTCAAACATAGCTCAAGAATTTAAAATCAACCACTTAGCTGGACTATATATATCCATTACTTGGAAAATATAGCATTCACACTAGTTCAAAAAAACCAGATATTCAAAGAGGAGAAAAAGGGTCAACTTACTCTGTAATTATTTAAAAAAAATTCACTAGGACAATTTTACTTTTACATAATTGTTTTGATCTGGTTACAAGGAATAACCCAATACAAATATTTTCTATAATTCCTGTTTCAAAAAAATCCAGTTGCGTCCTCTTTAAAGAAGCTTTTCACTTGCTAATTCATCATGAACGTTATAGGAAGCTGGGAAAAGAGAAGAAAGCCCAGTTCTTCCCAGAACTTTTAGCTTGCTTCCAAGTTTGAGAACAGTTATTACACTTTTTAAACTCTCTTCAAAAAAACAATCTGCTGCCAGAAAACACTCCCCAAACCACCCACCAAAGCAACACACATGGGGCAGCTAGATGGCGCAGTGGCCCTAGAATCAGGAGGACCTGAGTTCAAATTCGGCCTCAGACACAACACTTACTAGCTGTGAGACTCTGGGCAAGTCACTTAACCCCAACTGCCTCGCCAAAAACAAAACAAAACAAAAAAAAAGCAACACACATACTGAAAGATCCAGCTTCGGAGGTTTGTGAGTGAAGGTGTGTTCATGAGAGTTTGCCTTTGAAGTTTCTTTTCTTTTCCTCTACAATGGATAAAATACTTTTGTATATATCAGCTAGTTCCTGCACCTTTCAGGGCTCCTTCCCTGGAAAGAGAAGCTATCTTAGCCTCTACCATTTCTTTCTTCCCTAACCCTCCCAATCTTGACATTTAGCAGTATAAATATTACTACCAGATTCTACTACAATGAAAAGTGAAAAAGCCATGATGTTCCTTGTAATGGGATTTAACATGTAATCCTGTTTCTTCCCTGCAGTCCAGACATCCTCTTCTTTCCTTACTTCATAAGCAGAAACAGATAAACAACAAATGTCTGCCCCAGAGATCATTCTGCCTTCAACTCTCCAACCTCCATCCGTGGGCATTGTCAGGACACTAAAAAAAATACCTGGTAGTAATGTTCAAAAACAAATGTGTCACATTTCCCCATAACAATGTTACTTCTTGAAGCTCAATAAAGAACTCTTGTCCAGTTGAAGCATTAAAAGCATCAGCCTGTTTTATTTTGTGACAAGTTTATTGAACAGTATTTAAGACTTCATCTTTATAAACAAAGCTCTGCTGAGCAGTACTGAGGCAGCACCTGCAAATAATGCTGTGGCCATGGTCTAGAGAAGCCATTTTATCAAGCATTTGGTTTCTTACCAGTTTAAATTCTTGTAGAACCACCAACATGACAGCTTAAATGTAGGAGAATTTTTCAAGGACTGGAAATAGCTTAGAGCATAAAGTGGCTACTGTTGGAATGTTGTTCAAAAGAATCTCATAACCAATTTTATTCAGGAAAGCTACCCCCTTTAAGGATAACATCCTACTCCACTGGAGTCAATTTTAGGGTGTTTTCTTCACTCCTTAACCAAGCACTCCTCTAATATCAAGTAGTGCTGGGGTCCAATTAAAGAATGGAAGAAGCCAGCTAGGGATTAGATGCATCCCTAGTTTAATCTGAAGTATAAAACTCCACAGAATGGGCTGGTATTTCTCAATATATAAATGTGAAGTCCTTTTTTTTTTTTCCAAAATGCAGACCTAGATTTCCATGCAATGGGCTAAGTAAAGAATGGCACCACTACCTTGAATTTTTCTCTGAATCTTGATGAAAAAAATCTGCAAGTGGAATTTTTATTGTAGATGTCCTGACAACTGGCAGTAAAAAAAGCTACTGACTATATTTTAATACTGTGTTATACTGAAAAAGAAAGAAAAAAGTCACTAATGATTGTTACGTACAACTACAGTGTGTATACAAAACAAATATCCAAATTCTGCATGTGAGCAAAATGTTTTCCTAAGAGTTCTGTAAAATTTACAGACTGACGTATTCAGAAATACATTTTACACAAATGTCACTAACCCCTTTAAAGCAAAAGGAAATAAACGCACCAACTAATTAACCAGATGCAGAAAAAAGTCAAACCTAATAAGATTCTCTTCAATTCACTAAGTACAACACTAAAATAAAAGTTACACAGAAATTGGAAAATATCATGATAGGTGTTTACAAATGCACAAGAGCTTTGAGAAAAGCTTTACAAAGCCTTCATACCATACAAAACTTATGACAAAAATCAAAGGAAATAATGTAAATCCATTTCCAACACAAACCTACTTCATTAGAAAATCCGCAGGAAAAGGTGTATGAACAGTTTCACAGAACACATTTTAGAGACGTTTTACTGAAACTCCAATGCCCAAAACAAGATAAACAAAATGCTCAGCAGTTAGCACTATCATTAATTTTTAAAAAAATCTCAGATACACAAAAATCAAATTCCAGAGTGCAGGCATTTAATTACATTTCACAACAAGAAAAGTAATGTTGTGATTCAACCAAACTTCAGAGATTTCTCCAGTTTCCACTATTTATTTAACTTCATGAATAATGAAACCAGGTTTTCCTTTTTAGTATTTTTAATCTGAAGTGTAAAAACAAGTCAAAATAACCAAGTAGCTACAATAAGATGTAAAACATTTAATCAAATAAATGTTAAGAACACAGAACCAAAATAAATTTGAAAAAATAAGCATAAAGACTCATTTTTCATCTCCTATGCAAATAACCTGTTTCTGGTATTGAAAATAGTCAACGTTCCAATAGGAGGAGAAGGGGATTTGCTGTTGAAATAAGACTCCGAAATGGTTTGTTGACGTTTGATACTTCATCTTCAGAATGAAATACAATCACTTAACAGGGGCTTAAATTGAACAGTATATACAACCATCATATTGCTTTTTTAAGTTGAGGAGGCAACACCTAATGATCAGTCAGAGCAAATTTGTACTTGTGAATTACCAGAAGGTCCACAAAGAAGTCACCTCTTGATTGGAATACAAGTCTGTACAACCCCTTCCCCGAACAAAAACCCTGTGCTGTCAAATCTGCTACGGATGTAGTGTTGAACAGGCTTTCAAAACTCTTAATGGTCACATGAATAAAACTGTTGCCACTTGCATCTCTAAATCATACCACACTTTATGTCAGTGCTACCACTGACATGCAACACAAAAAAGGCACTATTTTGTGTGGAAAACAATTCTTTTCAAGGCTGCTGTTTAAGCACACTGATTTGCAAGGAATGTTGGGGACTTTTCAAAGCAAGACACAAATGCCCTGTAAGTGACAAAAAAATTTTGTTTCTCATGATCTCTCCAACCTCCCATTCTCCATTAAGGCTATTATACTCTACAGTAATATAGCGCCTCTGCCAGGGTTCTTGGATGAGTTGTGAAGGACGGAAGGCAGAGGCCATAAAGGTGCCTTTTGGGAAGTGGTGACCAAGATGCTCCCAGGCATTTCAGTGGCTGGGACTCCTGTTAACTGAACTCCATTTGGTTTTTGGGTTTTTGTTTGTTTTTGCCTCAGAGTGCCCTAGTTCCCAAAGGAAAGGAACGGAGGGCAAGGAACCTTAGGGGATCCTACCTCCCTCTGGCAGCCGTAGTTTGTCTGTGTGAAGACACACTAATTGTTAGATTCCTGATCAAACAACTGCAAAAACAAAAGCTTCTAAAATAGAATTCAAGGAATAACTACTGCTTGTCAATCTATGGACTAGCTTATCAAGCAATTCTTCTAAATTGACTGACTTAATTTTGACTCGCTATATAATAATGCTTATTCTTTTTAAAAGGACCCCTCAACTAGTCCCTAAGTTCTCTTATGGGCCAAAATTTCACATAAGTGAGTCAAAAGGAACATATCAGCACCATTAGTCCATCTCAGCTAGAAGTTCAAAACAAATCGAGAGTCTTAAACATTGATTATAAAGTTTTTTCTGGTTGTTCATGCTATATCAAAAAAAAATGGACAATTTTAAACTGACTAAACTAAGACTTGATGGTCAAGCCAAAATTGTTCTAGGGGACTGGGACACCGTCATTTCTGTGGCAAAAGTCTTATTCCACACAAGTATAATTGTGACAATGGGAATCTGTGTTCAAGGTTATAAACATAAAACTCGGTTTGGATTTTTATAAAACAGTTCTTTCTGCTCGTTACATAGGAGTCAATTAGGCAATTAAAGCAGCAACTTTCTAAACACACAACTGTCCATACATCAAGAACCTTTTGAGAAGCAATAAAAGTACATACAATGAATCTGTATACACAGAGATTTTATTCAGTTGCAAAAGAAAATTAGGACTTTAGACAAAGCTTTGACCCTATAACAAAGCAAATCTGTCCAGCTTGGAACCAAAAAAAATCTAATAGCCAACTTCTATTTTACAATGGCTTGCAATAGCACCCATCAAGAGCTTTGCTGACTTAATCTTAGTACATTTCTATTTTCTTCATCCCAAATGGTAAAAAACCAATCTAGACTCCTTGATAAGCATTATGTGGTCATTTGAGTTTTAACAAACGGTTTCCCTAAAGGTGAGCCAAAATTATTTCTCTGTTCTCCCCATACAGCTCTACTGGAACATACAGCAACATTTATCCTTGCAGCAATTCTTCTATAAACAGTCAACCAGTGCTCTCTCAGTCTTATTGAAACCAATCTATTTGCAATTTAAACAATCCACAGGTTCTAACCTGGAAATACTAGGAAAACAATCTTGATGCATTAATCACAGCACTATGAAGATCTAGCCTACAAACAGTTTATATGAACAGCTACCCTAACACAAGTTTGACTTTTCTTGAGCCTATAGGTCTGTCATTTAGATCAACGACAGCTGCCATGGCTTCATCACGAGACTCAAATGCAACCATTGCTTCACCTGTGGGCATGCCCTTTTCATTGTATTTTAAACACACTGAGCCTGGGATCACCTGATAGCCATAAAAGAAATCTAAAATTTCATCAACAGAGACAGTGAAGGGCATATTTTGAACTTTAATAACTGTTGGGCCTGGCTTTCCAGAAGCAGTTCCAAATCCAGGGGGTCCCCCAATATGGAGCGCTCCAGGCCCAGGACCAAAGTTCGGTGGCCCACTCAAATGTCCAGCAGTACTACCAAGACCCGGAGGACCACCTCCAAAACTTGGAGGGCCACTCAAAGTACCAGGTCCATTTCCAAAATTCTGAGGGGCTCCTCCAAAAGCTGATGGTCCACTTAAATTATTGGGACCACTTCCAAAACCTTGAACATCAATACCTAACCCAGGCAAACCACTATTTCCAACAGAAGGTATTCCAGGTCGGGCATCTCCAAAGGCCCCACCCAATCCTGGTGGTGGAAGTGGTGGGCCAAAGGCATTTGACCCACTAAAGTTACTGGGAAAATTAAATGGAGGGCCATTGTTTGCTTCTTTTGAGCCTACGGTCAGGAAAGCATGCTCATCACCTCCAGCATTTGGCATTCCTGGCACTGTGGCATTACCTGGCAATGGAATTTTTAACCCCTTTTTCACTTGAGATGGAGGATTTTTTTCAATCTCCCTCATGTCTTCTAGGGTAATTATATGCAATAAAGCTTCTCTCCCATTAAGTTTCTTACGGTGTAAGCGTTCAGCCTTATGTGCATCATCTTCACTTTTAAACTGAACCAATGCCTGTCCTAACCCCTGCCCAGTGTTATCAACAAGAATATGTACAGCATTTTCATCCACTGGAATCTCCTCTAGGAACTGTAGAATATCCATCTTGGTAATGTTGAATGGAATATTTGATATATGTGCACATAACTTTGGTGAGCTATCTCCCTCTGTATTTAAAATAATTTCCCTCTGATCATAACTGAAGTTCTGTAGCCTCTTACGAATCATGTCTATCTTTTCTAACATTCCCTTTTTAGTTATTGGGTGAACCTGAATAAAGCGATTCCCCATGTATTGCTTATGACGACACAAAGCTGCCTTATAATCAGACTCGCTCCTGAATTCTACAAAACCTTCACCTGTTGCTTTCCCATTAGGTCCATAAGCAATGTAAATACTATCTTCCACAATATCTAGCTTTTTAAAGAAATCAATAACATGTTTGTTTTCTGCTTCAAAGGGTAGACCTTTCAAATATACACAAAAACCAGGCTCATGTGGAGATCTCGATCTTGACCTTTTTTGCCCACTAGGCGACTTTGACCTGACGAGTGTCTGAGGAGGGGGGTGTGTCTGTCCAGAAGGTCCCATGCTCTGCTTGAAAGTGATATGACCTCCAGCAGCTACCCACTGTCTTTCTGTGGCCGGGCTGACTTCAACATAACGTTGAATCATCAGCATTCTGTTTCTTTTCAGTGCTTCAAATGTATCTTGAGGGGAGAAAAACTTAACTAATCCATTCCCATTATTTCGGCCTACATGATCTTTCAACAAATGCACTGCATCTACACGAAGCCCATGGAAAAAGTCTTTGACATCAGTTTCCATTGCAGAAAAGGGCATCCCATGGACACTGACATACAGATCATCAGGGTTGATGGGAAGTGGCTTCAGACTACTTTGAGAGTTCATTTGAATAGGATTAACAGGATTCAAAGGACCCAGAAACATTGGGTTCAGGTTACTGTTCAGATTCAGTGCTGTTCCAGATCCATTCATCCCAGTAGGTATGGGTGCCACTGGTGGTGGATTCAAAGGAGGCATTCCTGACAGAGGTGGCATAGGGCTCATGGGTGGCACTGGAGGAACAGGAGGTATTGGGGGTACGGGAGGCACAGGAGGCAATGTAGGTACAGGAGGAGGAACAGGTATTGGAGGAATAGATGGCATTGGTGGCAAGGAGGGCATTGCTGGTATTGGAGGAATTGGAGGTGGTGGGACTGTGCTCATGGAGGATGCTGTGCTAGGTAGAGTTGAACTAAATGTTGGGCTCCCAAAGGAAGCCCCCATATTTGGAGGGGCTGTTGCTATGTTGGCTGTGGAAAATGTAGGGATGTTTTTGTTGCTTTCATGCACAGATGTGGCTGCAGTAACCACACTGGGAGAAGGATTATTAAAATTGGCAACTGTGGTAGGTAAATTTACCCTGCCACTCATGCCTGAACTAGGAGGTGGTCCTGATCGGCTAGCATTTGCTGGTGGCATATCTAAGTTGGCAGTTTCAAAACGCCTACGACTGAGTTCAATCATATTTTGCATTTCAGTTTTACTACTCAACAACAGTGTTACTTTTGACCCTTTAATAGTACCACCTGTGCGCATCATACCAAGCCTTGCATCTTCATCAGTGGCAAAAACGATGAAAGCCTCACCCAGTTCACCCCCTACAATATGCACGCCCCCATCAGGGATGGTCAATCCAGAGAAGAAGTGGCGAATGTCCATGGTCCCCGCCACAATTGGGAGACCTTGCAAACGGATGACCACAGCCATGCTGCGCTGAAATAACACACACCTGCAGATGAAAAAAGGCAACGGCTATGTCAGACTACTGTTTGTCATACCATTTATTTAGCTAGTAGAATCACCATCTACCATATTAGGCACTCAAGCACCTCCTCAAGCTAACACAATTAAGTGTTAATATAGATTCTATTTTTTTATTTTCTAAAAAGGGAACTCTATGTATTAAACAATTAAAACCACCACAATTTCAACTTCCAAAATACATTGTAGAAACACAGATTAAAAGTTCAGTCCAAAGACCCAAAAGCATCAAAACAAAAACAATAAGAGGCAGCAATTTTATCATACAGACTACCAGTTACTTAGTGACATTTAAAGAAACATATAATTCACCTTGGGAATGACCCTTTAACAAATGCGCCACAGAAAATACAGCTCACCGACCCTCCCTACAAATCTGGCAACTTCTTGGGACTACTAAGACATTTTGCATAGCTACAATTCCTAAAATCTAAATGTAACAGAACTGAGGAACTGTACATTACTGATTACAAGTGGCTCTTAACAGTGCGAATTATTCAGACAAATTTTAAGTGAGAACTAGTTATAAGTTACTTCTCTGCTCAATCTGTTCAGAACTATAGTAAGTAAAACTAAGTATTATTTTACTCAATGTTAAAATAAATTAAAGAACCCCAAAGAGATGACAATAAATGTATTTAATCCCAGCACTCCTGATTTCTGCAGATATTCGACATCTAAAACATTTTCTAGGAGAACCCTGCTACAATGCTAGTCACTGTCAAACAATTTTGGTTAAACTACGGGTCCAATCACCCATCCCAATACCCTCCACAAAAAAGAATTTTGAATATTGTGGATTCTTTGGGTGGAAGGGGTGGATTTTACTTTAGAGGGATCTGTTTCTACTATGTCCTCTCAGAATGCATCCTTATGGGAAGAAGAAAGGAGGGTCTAGATAAGCCATTATTGGGATAGCATAATTATGGAGAGCTTATAGAACTCAGAGGTTGCTTTACATGGTAGCAGGGCTCTACTGTACTTTTTTTTAAAAATTAAAGGCACAAGGCCAGAAAGGGGAAAGTTACCCCCCCAATATAAGTATTTCATACTCCAAGTTTTGGTATTTCAGATTCCAAACACGGGAAATACTGGTTTTTATAACAGTATATAACAATAAATACAGGCATAGCAATTTGCAAAGCAATAAATATGTTTTTATGCCTGTGACAGAATAATATTAATCTGCAGTTAACTTTTATAGAGTCAATACCAACTTTATTCTAAAAACTAGAAATATCAAACTTTTGAAACTTAGTAATTTTATGTAGATCACTTGTAGCTGTAAAAGGACAACTCAAATATAATATGCCTCTTAAATTAGCTGTATGACTCCAGGTCAAGTCACTAAACCTCTCTAAGCTCTTTTCCTTACTGGGCTAGATGCTCTCTTCTAAAGATCTCTTGAGCTTTAAAATTCCATGATTCTATCACAACAGTACTCTTTATAATAAAATTTCCTGAATACTGACTAGTCACAACAAGATACCATACTGAGCTTCTTCATTATGATGATTATATAAAAGAAAAATAGTACTGTTTTGGTTTTGTATTTTATAGACTCTGCAATAAAATATAAAACAACCTAAAATATCTGAATAATGATGGGAAGGAAGGGCTTTCTGTATCTGCTCCAAAATGTTAGATTTTTAAACCTCAAAAGATAGCTCTTATTAAACTCTTATTTTAGATATTAAGTCTATATATTTTAGCTTAGTTATTTAATATCAGCAGGAACTTTTAAAAAAGTGAATTAAATGTGCTTAACTAATGATGCATGTTGAATCCCTACATGTTACTGCACTTCATTTAAAGGCAATTAAATACCCAATATAGGACATAGTATGAATAACCCAAGTATCAAAGATACCAACTGAGTGAAATGTTAGCTTGTACTGGGTACAGGTACATAAGAGTAGCCCAATGTGGCCCAAAACACGACACACAAACCAAACAGGGCTTAGTGCCACACAAAGTAAGTACTGTACAAGTCTTTCCCTGCTAAAGGTGGGAACCCAGTGAAAGTTTGTACAAGGCAAAAATATGCTATTGAACACATGCCACAGATTTCTCTGCAAAATCCTTTGTGCTGAAATAGGTTGCTGCTGAAGGACTGGGACTACAACCAGAATAATTCTGGAAGTCTAGAGAACACAAAATTTCCCTGCTAAGCCTTCAACACAAGAAAAAAACAATCATCTTTTAGGTTTGGAAGAGCGAAGGGGAGTGCCAGAGCTCTGCCACTTAGTGTGAACTTGAACAAGTCCTTTAACCTCTCCCAAACTGTAGTTTCCTCATCTATAAAAAGGATTTGGGCTGAAAAATACATGACGCAATAGCTCTAAAGGAAGGGATTCTTTTTTTTGTGGTTGTCACGACCCTTCAGGAGTCTGGTGAAGCCAAAGGATTCCTTCTCAGAATAATGTTTTTAGATGCACAAAATAAAACACATAAGATTACAAAGGAAATCAATTATATTGCAAAATAGTCATCAAAACATTGAAAAAACAGGTTCACGATCCCCAGGTTAAGGACTCTTCATCTAAAAAATCTACAAATATATACCACTATCAGAAGCAACTACATTTCAGTGGATCTAGAATACTACTTACTGGGGAGGAAGGGGGGAACCTACTTATTCTACAACATTTAGGAATGTAGCATTTAGGCACATAGGACCAAAGCAGGGCAAAACTGATCCCAAAGGAATCTACACCAGCAGTACAAAGCACCCTAGACATCCCTCCTCCCCCCACAAAGAGAGAAAGAAGCTTAGGACACACCAATTTGCATATTGCACAAATCTTAAGGTTATTTAAACTACCTTGTTTTAACTTAAAGATAAACAAACCTTCAATTCAAAAATCTCTTACCTGAAAAAACAACAGATGTATTTTCTTAACAAGTAGCAGAGGCCAAGTCAATCCTGTGGGCAACCAATTAAAACCAACTTTTAGACTGCAATAAAGAATAAATGGAGGCAAAAATCAATGTAGGAAACACACAAAATAGTATTTGCAGTTCACAATGAACTGTCTATTAAGAAGGCTCAAGTTTGAAACCACCACTGGGCACTTCAACTAGAAAGCATCCAAAAGATGAACTGTGCCAAAACCCACACACGCTTACTACTTAATAGTGCTTTCAAGTTTTAGTGTCTGTATTCAGTAAGAATAAATGATATTTGTATATAGATTTGTCCTTAAAAAAAGTGATTGAGAACTAAAACATTTATTTTGCTTAGTTTCACACTTGACATTTGCTTTTCTGATTGAAGGATTTGGGGATGAGCAGTATAAGGAAGAACATGATTCCTTTTGTCCACAAAGAAACAGTCCAGTAAATCTTAAACCATAAAATAGTCCAATTGCTCAGACCAGGCCAGCCTCTACAATTCATCACTAAATTCTAGATAAAAACATGATACTAAAACTCAAAATAACATCACTTTGGTAGGCAAGTTATGTCAACTCCATGGAATTTTGGGAAATTAGTATAATCACTCTTCCAACAGTTGCTTTCATATATACCCAAGACTTCAGCCAACACCACAAGCATTAAGTCAATAAAGATTTCAGTTCTAAGAATTTGTAACACAAAAATTGCACTGAGATTCAAGGTTCTGAGGAAACTGATTTTCCCAAAATATCTATATCTGTTACCAAAGTTACCTACAAGAAACTTCAGAATACTCCCCAAAACAATCATAAGTGAAGCATCTTTCATTCACATTTCCTTAAGTCAGTGTTATGGCGATACTCAAGCAACTTACAGCAAGTGATTAAGAGAGATAGTCCTTTGGGAAGAACGATAAGCCATTTGATAACGCGCCTTACTAGAATCATGCTCATTTTTAACCTAAAACCACCTTGAATTCAAGACCAAAACCCAACAAAACTAACAATTGTTACTACTGATGTACAATAGAAGATACTTTAATATTTCAAAAGCTAATTGCACTCTAATCCAAGAGTAAATATTCTACCAATGTCATTCTAAACAATCCCAAGACACAAACTAAAATAACTCACCACTTATACAAATAAATTATCAATTAATGGATGTATTATGAAATACTAAGGAAAAATTACATAACTCAATAAATACCACAAAATGACTGAGGAAGATACATAAGTATGCTATTTAAAACGCAATTACATCACATATTAATTCCACAATGTGCTGATTGATTTTTTTTGAAAGTCATTACACAGCAAATTAAATTCTTAAGCTTAATAAATTTTAAAAGTCACATTTAGTAAGCTCTCCCAGCAAATACAAAGAGAGTAAAGGAAGAAAGAACTGAATAGAATAGCACTTCTTAAATGAAGGCAATGCTTAATGAGCATGGGTCTACACCATATCAATATTTTCTTCTGATAATTTCTAATTTGGCTCCACTGTCCAGAGACAAAAGTTGTTAGCAACTGTGATTAAATGAGACCACTGAAAATTATTTCTTAAAAATATGAAATGCTGGGTTTATACTGTATCAATTTTTCTTATCGCAAAAATTGTGTTTCCCCTTGTATTTTAAAACTAGCTGAAATGACAAGCAGGTACTATGCAGACCACAGTAGCTTCAACACCATTTTATTCATATTTATTACTTGGTAATTTTTTATGTTGCTAAATCCATTAATGTATTTATTGACATCCCTGTCAAAAATTCTGTTAACTAGAGAAAAATAACATAGACTCAAAAGGATAGTTCTTGGCCCAAAGAAGATGGGATTTACCATAAAATATTAAATATTAGCTAAAAACAAAACAAATATGCCATGGCTAGTAGTCAGAGTAGCAGGTGATAAGGCCAAAGACAGGAGATTAACTTTGGGGAAAGATTTTGGAGAGAACAGACCTGTGTTTCCAGGTCTTGAAGAGGTCTCTGATACAAGGTCCTCCATCCCCAGAAACTAAACAGCTTCAGCCAGGCAAGGACAGATAGTCCCTGCAGACCATATCCTCCTCCCCAAAGGACTAAATCAAGTTTGCCCTTAGGAGCAAATAAAAAAATGTGTCATCCCCCTATTCCCACCTCATACCTATTTCCCACAAGGACAAACGATGACTGAAATTGCTGACTAGAAATCAGGAGATCTGAGTTCAGGTCTCATCAACTGCGAAATATTCAAGGTGTGACTTTGGACATGTCACTTAACTTCTCTAGGCCTCAGTCTGGTTATGAACTCTAGAGATCTCTGTCAGGGCTGGCATTCTAAAACTCTAAAGGGATAAAACTTTTCTTTAAAAAAATAAAAAGCCTAAAATACAAATGTAACTCAAGTAAAATTTTATACTTTGAAACACACTCAGATTAATCAGTCAAACCATCACCAAGCAAGAGTGACAGTGACATAAGACCCCTTCCTGTTCTGATAAGTGCTATCTGTTTAAAAAGGAGGGGTATGGAAGGGACACTGGCAGGCAAACCAGATCACAAACTGCAGAGACCGCAACTTTGTCTAGGTTGGTCCTGGTGATCTACTAGAGCTGCCAGGCAAGAACGCTGTTGAATTTGCACATATCCCAGGCCATTTCTGCTTCTGATCTTAATTGTGGACCAGGCTAAGTTCAGAAAGGCTCATCAACAGTTGGCTATAAGTAATTATTAAAGTTATATATGGGCCAGGACCTGTGTTGGTATAAAGAATTCCCACAACCAATGAAATCAAAGATCTTTTAAAAGAATGAAGTATCTTTGCAAATAAAGGATTTCCTAAATTGTTTTTGTTTTGCTCTGAAACACAAAGTTAAAAGGAGTTGATTTACTCATGGAGCTATCATCATATTCTCAAAGGACAAGGAAAGCCCAGCCATTCCCTTGATGTCCTAAATCCCAATTCCCAGATACATTCAGGTCTCTAAAAACGAGAGAAACTCATACTAGTCAAACTCTAAAGTATCATTTCATTTTTTAGAGGATGTGTTTGAACTAGGTAAAGAAACAGTTAACTTCTGAATACAAATTATTCTAAAAATTAAAAGGAAAGGGAAAACAAGTCTGATATTGGGTTTCAAATAACATTAAAAAAAATTAAATATATTTACAACTTGCTAATTTATCAAATAAAACAACTTCAATTAATTAACTTGTTCTGCCCAATTTCACTTTTGCTTCAATTACAAGCTAAGAAAACCAACATCTATTTCAGTTTTGACACCATTGTGTTTTAATAAAACTTTTAAAAAAATAAACTGCACATTCTTGTAGAATTTTAAAAGCACAAAAAAGACTTATCTTCACAATCACAAGCAGAAGATAGATTGAAGTATGTAGTTTGCAGGTTCATTACTTAACCTGACAATTCCATTCTTTCTCTAATACAAAAAGGCACAACAAAAGCAAACTTGAATTACTTTCAGCACTACAATTTCCATCCACCACAACCAGTAGGCATCACAACTAAACAAAACAACCTCATCAGACCTCAAAGAAACACAACAGTAAAACAAACTCCAAATCATACCAAAAAAGATAAGTGAGCCATAGAGAGAGACAAGGAGAATGAGCCAAGTGCTATAATCAGCAAACATGAAAACTTTTGACAGTTACAAGATTGCAAAACAATTATAATTTAGTTGACTACTCTTATTTTGTCCCCCTTAATGGGTCACATTTTATGCTGGGATTTTAACAGTTTCCAACACTAATAGGAACTTTTCACTTTTTCCTTAGCAACAGGTCAGTTGTCAAATGCAGTATTTCTAAATGTTTATACCATCTAAAAAAAGCACTACAAACTACCTTTTGTTTGTAAGGATACTCAAAAGTCTTAAAAATTAAGTTTTTGAGACTAAAAAATTAGCCAAAAAAAAAAATCCAGCTCATACATATTTCTAAGAAACATTTTAATTCTACGGTAGACCCATTCACTGTGACTGCTGGTTTTAAACTTGATGAACTCATGTGTTGTGCGCATTGAATATTTGTACTAAATTCAAATCATACCAAAATATTTGTCTATGAGAAGTGTATAAAGATTAGATAAAACCACAGAAAAACTAATGTGATTATTAATTCAGTTTTCCTCTGTAAAACAGGTACCTAGAACTTAACATTGTTTTAGTTGATTCTACTTTAACTACTGATACTTACCTTCTCCCTAAATATCCCTTTCAAGAATTCAACTAAATTGGATCGTGCAGTTACATCTTGTCAAAAGGAAACCGAACAAACTAGCAATCTTGAATGCTAGCACTTATTCAGATGCCAGTCACTCAAACCCCCCCCATTCAATGTGCCAAATCCAAAGGCTTCAAAAACTCTTGCCTGTCCCAAGGTCCCCCAAATTCTTTACACAGGGGAATAAAAACGTCAAATTTAATATGCCAAAGCATGGGGTAAAACAGCCCATGATTTCCTGCTCTCAGTATATTCAAGTTAATTAAAGCTTTGGAAAATTTTCTGCAGCTTCATGTTTACCCCGATAAAAAAAATTTTGTGTTTGAAAGCAAAAAATAAACATCACAACAAAGAAATCCAAATTTAATGTTGCGTTTAAAAAACACTGACATTAAAGCATTTTTTGAAATTAAACTGCACCACAGTTAAAAAAAACTAAAGTACATTGTCACCACATAAACACAAAAGTTTTTCATTTTCTGAAAATGTTAAGTTACAAATAATTGCAATCCAAATATGTAAACCACCTATAACACAATTCTATGTAATCACTATTCAGAGTTCGATTGCTTTGAGTCCGAAATTCCCCATTCTTCCACCAACTACCGTAATGAGGAGCAAGCACAAACCAGGCCATACTATGTTTCTATAGAGCTAAAGATTTCTTTAACTCTAGGTTTTGTAACAAAAAATTGTAGGCTGAAAGCAGTTTGAAATATATTAAGCCCCTAAACTACTCAGTAAGTGCAAACACTATTTATTCGTAACGATTTTTTTTACAAAGTTACTTTTCAAACCATTTACTAACAGCAAGGCAAAACTCTGAAACCAAGCAAAGGTTTTAGAAAATTTCAAGAAAAACTCTCCATCGGATGACTTCCGATCAAGTATCAATGCTATCAGACAAGACCTTCCGTAGAGGCTTATTATTCTAAGTAAAAAAAATGGACCCTGAACTATCCCTGCAAGCACAGCCCAAATCTTTATCAAGTGTCTTCAATCACGCACAGAGGGGCCTCCCTATACTATTCCCTCCCCCTCATGGCAAACCCCCAAATGATGTTTGGTGCTGCTAGCAGAGACTGTTACTGCAAACCCCCCCCCATGATAATTCGATATCACCACATACAGGAAACATCCTTGCATCTAATACTCGGTGCACAGGTGTTCGTACCTCTACCACACATACCCTACTTAACACAATCATTCTCCCACTAACCAATCCTTACTCTCGGCCTCCCCCGGCACCAAAAGTCAAAGCAAGCTCCTAGACACAAAAAACACTAACCTCCCCGGAGTCAGACTACAGAACTGGACCCTCCCTGGCTCCAGGGCATCTCCACACGTTCCCCGTACTGACGGCTGCACAACCCTTCCGAACGGCTGCTTCGGGCCCCGCTCGTACCCCGCCCCACCCAGTGCAGAGGCGCCCGAACAAGTCCTCCCTCCAAACTCCTGCAGCGGCTCCAGCCACAGGGGGCGTCCTCCTACAACCCCCGCCCCCCCCGGGGGGGGGTCCTCGTGGCCGCCCCGCCGCAGCTCCCGCGGCCGGGCGCGGCCTCGCCAAGACTGCCTCCTCCCCTCCCCGGATCCGGCCCAAGGGGGCGACCTTCCTCCCGGCTCCCTCCCCCGAGGCTCCGGCCGCGGCGGGCGTCGTCCCTGCGGCCCCTCTCCTCAACTCCGCGGCAATATCCCGGCCCAGGCCCCGGCTCCAAAGCGGGGGCGCGGGCGCGGGCGGGCGCGGGCCGACTGCTAGGCCCTTTGTGTGGGGCTGAGGCGGATTCCGCGGCCTCCGAAGGCCCCGCCCCAAGCCCCGGTCGTAGCGGGGCGGCCCGAGCCCCGCACAGCCCCGCCCGCCCGCGCCGGGGCTGCGGGAGTCTTACCGGGGAGAGCTGCGCGGTGCCCGAGCTCAGACCCGAGCTACCCCCCGCGCCAGTGTCTCCGTCCGGCGGCCGACAGCCCCAGCCCGAGCGGGGTCCCCGGATCCCGCAGCCGCCGCCGCCGCCGCCACTACCGCTGCCGCCGCCGCTTCTGTTGCCGCCACCGTCGCCGCTATCGCTGCTGCACAAAATGGCCGCCGCCGCGCTGCGCTGCTCTGCGCTCCAGTTGGGGGGCGGGGCGCCGCTCGGGGGCGGGGCCTCAGGCCGGCTGGAGCAGGCGCACTGGAGGCCTGGACAGATGCTCTCCATCCTCTAGGCGCAGGGAGGGGAAGGGGATAGAGTTGATGATCTTGGAGCGGTCGAAGCATCATTCGGAACCAATATGAGGATCATTCATTCAGTAAACGGTTATTAAGTACCTGTTATGGGCCAAGAACTGTGCTAAGAGCCGGAACACTAAAACAGACACTATTCAGGCGCTGGAAGGAAAGCCTATCGTAGGCTCACTGGCCTTCCTCGCCTGTGTCTGTCCATCTCCCCTCTCAGCGCCTTTGCGCTGGCGGTTCCTCAGTGCCTGGGGTGCACTCCTCACCTCTGCTTTCTAGGATGTTTCCTTCCAAACGCCGCTCAAGCAACGCCTGCATGAAGCCTTCCTAATCACTTTCTTCTAGTGCCCTCCCACCCAGAAATTTATTGTGAATATATAAAGTATGTATTTAATTTTGCTTGTGCTTATGTTCTTGTTCTCCCCCTCCCTCAGCCCCACTCTGCTTCTTGAAGGCAGTTTCATTTTTGTTTTTGTTATCACCAGAGCCGAGGTAAGTGGCAATCTAGTATTGTTGTTGTTTTTTATTGATTGCATGTAACATTAGACTGAAAAAAGTGGGTTGGAGCCAGAAAGTGGATGGCCTTGAATGCCAGGCTCAGGACTTTATTTGTTAGACAATGGGGAGTCAAATGAAAATTTTGAATGAAGTAATTATAGGCTCAAAATACTTTATTCGGAGTTCTACTTGAGTATTACTGTGAAAGTTGGATTGGAAAGGGTATAGGCAAGAGGCAAGAAAGAACAGATAGGAGGTTTATTATAACGATAGGTATAAGTACCTGGACTAAAATGGTTATAGCAGGTATAGATACCTAGGTGGTAGATTCAATAGAGATTCTGGAGGCAGAAGCAACAGGAGTAAGCCAAGGATGCATACCATCTTGATGTCTACTCTCAGTGCATTTCTAAATCTTCTTGGATACATTTCATTGACCTGGGATTTACGTAACTGGTATATCGGACTGTATCTTTACAACTTCATCTTTAGACTCAGATCCAAAACTACTTTTCTATTTTAAGTTGAAATATTTTAAATTTCTCTACGTCCCTATTTTTCCATTATATGTGGACCTAACACACTCCCCACACACCTTACACCCCCCCACCACACATTCAGCTGATATTAGTGATAAAAGGTAGGAACAAAGATTTTTTTTTTAGTGATTCTGGGAGCTAAAGGATAATTTAAAAAATAACTATAACATTTATGTGGACATTAACCATAAGACAGGCATTGTGCTAAGGGCTTTATAAATATTATCCCATTTTATCCTCACAACAACCTTAGGAGGTAGGTGTTATTATTCTCATTTTACAGATGAGGAAACAGAGGTAGGCAAAGGTTAACTGACTTGCCCAGGGTCAACAAGTTAGTATATGCCTGAGGCTAGATTTGAATTCAGGTCTTCCCTAACTCCAGCCTTGGCACTGCTCCTCCCAACCAAAAAAAAAAAAAAAGAGATTACTGATCAAGATGAATGTGACAGTAATAAGCTGGAGGAAAGGCAGAACTGCACAACTCTTAGTTTGTTTTTGTTATTTCCACCAAGAAAAATGGCTTCAGAGCAAGAAGGTTAGGACAAAAAATGGTCAACAGAAGGTTTAAACTAAAGATACATTAGAAAATGGCAAGAAAAAGAAAAAAGATAGCAAGATAACAGTGCCTAACTGTCGACAGTAGACTGAAGCGGCCAAATCTGGATGAACTCTCTACCCAGGTACCAAGAGAGCATGTGGACGGACAGTGCTTGTTGAACCACTATCAGCAGTGTTCTGCAAACGCGAGGGAGTGACAGAAGCGGTGCTGGGGGATTGGATAAAGACAGCAGAAGTGTCCTGGTTTTCTATTAAAAAAAAAAAGGAAGAGGAAGGGAATCTTCTAACTATAATAAGCCCATGAAAAAATTTGGTTCTTGGAAAAAAATTAGAATGTCATTTGAAGGATGGTTTGTGACTATTTGGCAAGACAGGTCAAGAGTTCATGAGGAAAGGTAATAAAAGACTGGCCTCATGGTAGGTAGAAGAAGTGAGTGACACAGGTAAGTGTGGAATTTGGGTGTAAGAATTTGACAAAGACTATCATGTTAAGGAGATGTAGAGATCTGGGGTAGATGGCAGAGTTTTAGGTGGACTTAGAGTTGCTCAAATGACTAGACCCAAAAGAAAATTTTTTAGAAATTAAACTCCATTGAAACCTGTCCAAATATAGCTCTGTTCTTCCCTACCCACAGAGTCATCCTTTCTAACAAGGAATAAAAAAGAAAGAGGAGAGAAAAGCAGTTCAGCAAAATTAATCCATATATCAGAGAGTATATACAGCATTCTACTCATAGACCCCTCCTAATCAAAGAAGGGAGGTCCGTTTTCTTTCTCTCTTTTTTTTTGATCAGCAAAAATCTTCACTCTTTCCCTCCCACCTTCCTCTCCCCACTTTGAAAAAGCAAGAAAAACAAAACCCCTGTTACAAACATACATAGCGAAGCAAAACAAATTTTCTCATTGTCAGTGTCCAAAAACAACATCTCAGGTTGAAACACTGAATCGACAATGTCCCCTCTCAGGAGAGAGGTAGCATTTTCCATCATGAGTCCTCTGGAATCATGGTTAGTCATAGTTTTGACCAGAGTTCCTGTTTCAGAGTTGATTATCCTTAAAATATTGTTGTTATGTTGTATATTTGTATATATATATATATATATATATATATATATACACTATAAATTATATATTTGTATATATATTTCACATATAGTGAAATGGTTCTCATTTCACTTTTCATCAGTCATACAAGTTCAAATGAGGTTTCACTAAAACCATGCCTTCATCATTTCTTACAGCACAGTAGTATTCCATCACATTTATATACCATCACTTGTTCAGCCATTTCCCAGTTGATGGGCATCACCTCAGTTTCCAGTTGTTTGCCACCACAAAAAGAGCTGCTCTACATATTTTTGTATGTATGTGTCCATTTCCTTTTTCTTAAATTTCTTTGGGGCATAGATAATATCATTGGATCGAAGGATATTCACTGCTTAGTAGCTTTTTGGGGACATAATTCTAAATTGCTTTCCAGAATGGCTCGACCAGGAAAGTGCATTTCCTTATCTGTTCTTTTGGGGCCAATCTTGGTCATTAATAAGTAAATGTAATAAATAAAAAAAAATTACATGCTATTCAGTTTAATTTTTAATTTTTAACTTTTTTTTGATGAGGCAATTGGGATTAAGTGACTTATCCAGAGTCACACAGCTAGTGAGTGTTATGTGACTGAGGCCAGATTTGAACTCAGGTACTCCTGACTTCAGGGCTGCTGCTCTATCCCCTGAGCCACCTAGTTGCCCCCTAATTTTTTTTTTTATTCCAAAGGTAATCATGAATGGGTCAGTGTTAGATTGGAGGAAGTCTTGAACTCAGTGTCCCAGAAATCTGACTTCAGCTCTGTTATTCAATATTTTTATCCATAGCTTGGCTAAAGAAATGAAGAAGCAGTATAGTATACCAGATGAAATGTTGTACTTGAAGTTGGGAAGAAATGAATAACATTCTACCTCAGATATTCCCTAGCTATGTGATCCCCCAAGCAAGTAAATTAATCTCTCTAAGCCTCAGTTTTGTCATCTGTATAATGGGGATGACAATAACAATCACACTTACCTCCCAGAGTTATTGTGAGGATTAACTGAAAATAATACATGAAGTGTTTTAAAAATTTTAAATTGTATACCAAGAAAAGGTCAAAATGGGTATATGATTTAAACACAAAAGGTGATACCATAAACAAATTAGGAAAGCAAGGAATAGTTTACCTGTCAGATCTGTGGAGAAGGAAAGAATTTATGACCAAACGTGAGATAGAGAGCATTATGAAATGTAAAATTGACAATCTTGATTATATTAAATTAAAAAGGTTTTGCATGAACAAAACCAATGCAACCAAGATTAGAAGGAAAGCAGAAAGCTGGGAAAATATTTTACAGCAAGTATCTCTGATAAAGACGTCATTTTTCAAATATATAGAGAACTGAGTCAAATTTATAAGAATACAAGTCATTTCCTCAGTTGATAAATGGTTAAAGGATATAAACAGGCAGTTTTCAGATGGAGAAATTAAAGCTGTCTATGTCATATGAAAAAATGCTCTAAATCACTATTGATTAGAGAAATGCAAATTAAAACAACTCTAAGGTATCACCTCACAACTGTCAGTTTGGCTAATATAACAGAAAAGGAAAATGGTAAATGTTGGAGGGAATGGGAGAAAATTGGAACACTCATGCACTGTTGGTAGAGTTGTGAACTGATCTAACCATTCTCAAAAACAATTTGGAACTATGCCCAAAGGACAATTAAACTGTGCATACCCCCAGCAATGACACTGGTAGGTCTGTATCCCAAAGAGATATTTTTAAAAAGGGAAAATGACCTATTAGCACAAAAATATTCATAGCAGCTCTTTTTGCAGTGGCAAAGAATTAGAAATTGAGGGGATGCCCATGATTTGGGGAATGGCTGAACAAGTTGTGGTATATGATTATAATGTAATATTATTTTGCTATAAGAAATGACAAGCAGAATGATTTCAGGAAAAACCTGGAAAGACTTTCATGAACTGATGCAAAGTGAAGTGAGCAGAACCAGGAGACTACTGATCAACTATGAATGACTTAGCTTTTCTCAGCAGTACAGTGATCCAAGACAATTCCAAAGGACTCATGATGAAAAACACTATCCATATCCATAG